CGACCCCTTTGGCGGTCGAACGACCCTTTCACAGGGGTCGCCTAAGACCATCCTGCATATCAGATATTTATATTATGATTCAGATTCATAACAGTAGCAACATTACAGTTATGAAGTAGCAACAAAAATAATTTTATGGTTGGGTCACATGAGGAACTGTATTTAAAGGGCCAGAAGGTTGAGAACCACTGGATTAGGGAGTGGGAGAAGCAAAGTGGGGAAACCTCTGGGATTGGATAAGAAGTGAGATGATGGACACATGTTTCTTTTACATAGATGGATACAGGATAGTTAACAGTCAACAATTAACATGATAACAATGAGGGAATTTGTGGTCTCTGCCCTGGTGCCATTTGTTGTGTCCTGAGGGGTCCTGAAAAAGGGAAGTTATAAGTTACCCAGACATTTCACAGGTATGTTATCTTAGATGCAGAAAGACAGTAGGCTCAGTAAAGATCGAAGTTGATCTTTGTCCGGGAAAATACTGGCCTAGGAAATGACTACCTACTATAAACTGCTTTTAGTTAAATTTTAAATTTCAGACCATCCTTTGTGGTTACTTTAGGTCTTTGAGTTTGCAAAACTGCCATGCAGGCCTTCCTTGAGCTAGTCAGGTTAGCATGTGGCCTTTTTTTTATTCATCCATACCTTCCACTAGCAAAAAGATTACGACTCCCTGAAGGCTCAGATAATGGTATTTTTAGCAATACAATATTTTTAATAAAGGTGTGTACTGTTTCTTAAACATAATGCTATTGCACACCTAATAGACTATAGTATAAACTATATATAACTTTTGTATACATTGGGAAACTAAAAAATTCATGGGAATTTTTTATTGAGGTGTTACATTTATTGCAGTAGTCTGGAACAGAACCCACAATATCTCCGAGGTGTGACTGGAGTGTCCTCTGGAAGCAAATCACCAGGATTCATTTCTGCGCTTGTACTATTTATGTAACCTCGGGCAAGCTATGCACTCCTTTATGCCTCAGTTTCCCTTACTTGTAAAATAGAAAATCTATCCCCAAAAGCAGTTGTAAGAATGAAGAGAGAATGGGACATCTGGCTTTCGAGCAGGAACTGTATTTCAAGACGGAAGCGTGATTTAAAAAAGGGTGATGTTGAGAAGGGCCAGAAGATTTTTGTTCAGCAGCGTGCCCAGTGAAAGAGGAGGCAAGCACAAGACTGGGCCAAATCTCTAATGTCTATTTGAGTGAAAGACAGGTCAGACTCCTGGATTTTCTTACATGGATGTCAACAAGAGTAAAGGCATCACCTGGGGAGGGGATACACTGATGGAGTATTTGGAGAATTTCAAGACTTGCATCCCTGGAATAAAAATGATCTTTGCTGGCATCAGGAATAGTGCAGAAAGGGCAGACTTGATAGCTTACCTCAAAAAAAAAAACTTACTAGTGAGTAATAGTTGGCCTCTGCCTTATTTATTACAAAACAGAAATGTCTCATGACTTCTTCTATGTGTACAAATTTAAATTGACCTCAAGCACCAGAATTTAGATCACGAATAGCTGATAGGACATTTCTTTTGGGCAGTCCTGATTTAAATAAGATTAGTTTTGGGGTTAAATGAATATGATCAGCTTTTTGAACTCTGATGGTAATTTTGGTTCAGCAAGTGCTATCATTGTTTACCCCTTCTAAAAATATGATTGGACTTGATTAGTAAAGTTCAACTTTTCACAGAGATGGTATGTCATCTCAAAACCTGTAGGAGATTTGCTGGAGGCTAAAGCCAATAACAGTTAGCATATTAATGCAAAAAGAAAACACTGGAAGACCAATGGACTTTGATATTCAGCAGGGCTGAAAATCAGCGTAATACTGCCCTGCTGTGGGTTCAATGGCTCAAGGCAATTTCCTAACCTGATAATCCTTTTACTGTTTACCAAACTTTACCTTTGATCTGCCTGTATGCATTGCTGAAGGGCAAATGTGTATTCAAGTAAATAAAAAGTGGACCAGGCAAGAAGTTGGTGTGTCTCTTCAAGAAAGAGGCTCCACCTGGCCCCCAATGCCTTCTAAATTCATATTTCTTGAATATCATTTTAATTTGTGCCTCGGCCCCTCCTTCAGATCCTGAACCCCGCCGCGAAGGTCGTGGCAGAGATTGGTTTCATATTTAGCTTTATATAGCTGGTTATATTAATATGTTTAAATACTGAGGAAATCCCTTTTACTGTCTCTTAGTACAGCAAGACTTGCTTGTGTTTCACATGTGTTCATTAGCCTGTTTATTTTTAATATATCTTATTGATTTTTTACAGGGAGGAAGGGAGAGGGATAGAGAGTCAGAAACATCGATGAGAGAGAAGCATCGATCAGCTGCCTCCTGCACACCCCCCACCGGGGATGTGCCTGCAACTAAGGTACATGCCCTTGACCGAAATCGAACCTGGGACCCTTCAGTCCCCAGGCCGATGCTCTATCCAGTGAGCCAAACCCGTCAGGGCATCATTAGCCTGTTTAAAGGCAAGGGCTGAAGATAAGCACTGGCAGGGTCCACTTTATCTTTTTGGTCCTAACTATGCTAAAAAAAAAAAAAAAGAAAGATAGAAAGGAAGGAAGAAAGAAAGGAAGAAAGAACAGAATGAGATAATACTGCACAGGGCCTGGCATACAAAGCCATTTATAGTTTTGTTAAACCCTCAATAAATGTTAGCTTTTAAGTTCAGGTTCCTGAGCTTGCCAGGCCAGGACCCAACCCTGGACTGTGGGGAATAATCAAGGTCAATGCCACCTAGTCAATGAGCCTAGCTTCCCAAGGGCTTGTCTCTGGATCATCTTGACATTTGAAAAAAGTCACTAATACTTATGTAGTCTCAGATACGTATTTACTTCTATAAGTAATTTGCCCAAGTCAGTAAATGGTGGCTCTCACTCCAGGAACCACCTATTGTCCACTTGTTAAACTGCCTCTTCTTTCTCACAATCATATCACTAAATTAAAGAATAGGTATTTTGCAGTGAGCTAGGGATTGAAAACTCAATTTTTCTTTCTCATCTGTAAACTTTAAACATATGATGTTTGCTTTCTTAGTGAGCTTTGAATCAACAGATAAATGCATATATAATTATGAACATGGTGGGCTGCTTTGTGATTTGTAAACAATAAAATAACATCACATGCGAGGTGGTTCACCAGCTATTACAGAACAGGCATTGCAGAACATGCCCGTAACTGTGCTTTTTACTTCCCAATTTTCATGGTTGGCCTTTCTGTTCTCATGTTTCAAAACACCATAAAATACGATCAACAAATGCAGGCATAACGTTATTAATGCCTATAAAGTTGAATGTAGTATGCATTTATTAAGCCCCCTGGGTGTTGGCACTGCACTTGGGGAAATATGTAAAGGCAGTAAAACTAACGTTTTGTGGCCTTTGAAGAGTTTAGAACGATCCTTTTGGAAGTTGTTTACACCACACAAATAACTGTGCAGCGCTGTGAAGAAAAAAAAAAAGAAACCGCCAACTTTTCTCTGCCTTTACATCCCTTAACTCCTCGAAATCGGGAACGTTTGGGCGCTGTACTCAGGCAGTTCTTTATGGAAGCTTCTGAGGAGCCACAAATTAACCTCTCAGTTTTGGCTCAGAATCTCTCCTTTCCGTGATTGGCTGGAACCTGCGCATGCGCTGAAACTCCGCGTAGCCGCGCGGGCTCGGGCTGGCACCGCCCCCACCCCCT